CGCCCAAAAGAACGCCGGAAAAGCCTTCTCTTCTCGCTCAGTTTCCAGCTTGGCTCGAGGAGAGGGTCCTGTGCACAGAGACACCGCCCGCTGAGAACTATCTAGGGGTTCGCTCTGCGCCATTTGGGCTTTCTTGCGCATGTGGATTCCGCCCGCGAGACTTTATAGCAACCATCCGCCTCTGCCTTAATTGGTATCAGCCTGCGAACCAAAACTACCAAATTGGCATGGTCTGGGAAGGTGTACGCTCCTGGCTTCCCAGGCTCGTGTGGTCACTCTTGGGCCGCCCAACACCTTGCCGCCCAGCCGGGTCTCAAGCCGCATCAGTTCCGAAACTTTGGTCGTGCACTGTTTGTGGTTGATTTGGATGCGGATGGTCCTGCCGATCGCGCCGAACCGTCACCTGAGCCGCCTGTGTCTGACTGTAGTTGTTTCTTTTGTTCGGTCGCTGCCCGCTGGCTCGACCGCAGGGAATCTTCCAGAAATGAGTGTGCATTGAGCAGCTCTCCGGCATATGATGTGGTCCGGAGCTGAGCTGCAGGGGACAACTTGCTCTGCGTGGCAGTGCTAGGCAGCGGGCAGAGGGGGCAGGCAGAGTTGCAGCAAAAGTTGCGGGTAGGGGGAGGCGAGCCTCCAGCAGCAAGCGGCGCATCGCCGCACACGATGGAGTGTTAAGCTCATCTGCGGGCGAAGCGAAAGCTGGCAAAACACCAAGCCACTCCTCTTGGGAACAAGAAGTAAGACTTAACGAAGAGAAAGAAGGGAATGTATTCTAGATTCCACCTCCCTCGAATCTTGTTATATTTTTTGTGCTTGTTTGGATTTCATTTTTCGAAACCAGTGAGACTCTCAACATTTGTTCCCTTTTATGAAGAGAAAGAAGGGAATGTATTCTAAATTCCACCCTTAAATTTTGTTTTTTGGATTTCATTCTTCGAAACTAGAGAAGTGAGACTCTTAAAAGGGAAGCTTCAGGGCAATTCCACTCCGTTTGCTTCTTCTCTGTTGTGTTCATCACTCGAGTTTCTGGCAGTAGAGAGTTCATAGCAGTGGCGCGCAGAGATGACGAAGGGGCTCGAAGGCGAGGACGAAGGAGAGAGGGCTTGCGAAGGGGGGCTTGGAAGGCTGGGGCTTGGAAGGCTTCGAAGGCGAGGACGAAGGGGGAGGTTCGAAGGTGAGAGACGGGGGCATCTCCACCACTTCCAGAAAAAAAAAACACCTTATGCAGTGAAGGGGCAATGAGCCAGGAAGAGAAGTCCGCTTGACATCCACGACCAACTGCAAGTGCTATCTGGAGGAGCAGCCACGCTGGAATGACCTTCGAAGCCGAAGGGTCGAAGAGGGGGGGGGACCTCATCACCGGTCTGGAAAATGGCAGCGTTGTAGCTGACGGGCCAAAGCCATCGAAGGAGGAAATTCGAAACCAAAAATCGATAGCACCGGCGACCCTATCCTTAGATGCGAGGTCCAATCTCTCACCTGAAGGCAAGGCCTCCCTATCAACCTCCTGGGCCGGCACAAAGATCCTAACGGATTCATCCTGAGGAACCATCTTGACATCCGGCCAGCGAAGTCAAGGCTAGAATCACCAGTCACAGCTTCTTAGGCTTCAGCGGGCACTTAGTGACTGGGTGGTCACCACATTTGTAAATAACGCAATTTGGCAAGGGCTTACCCTGACCTGGCCATGACTCAAAGCCCCTAGGGCTCCAAAAAGGTCTTCCCCTGCTTTTCTTTCTTTGGAGCATTCTCGTACGGATGGCTGCGGTTGCCTTCCCCAAAGCTTGCCTCCGCCCCAGATTCCCCAAAGAGAGAAGAGCAACAATCAAATCATAATCCTGCAATTCCGAGGAAATCCTGGCATCCAAGGGCAAGATCTCCAACGCAGAGAAACCTTATATAACCTTGCTGAGCTGGTTTCGTGAGGTACTTGATAAGCGAGGAAACGCAAGATGCTTGTGGGCTCTAACTTTGCTGTACTTGGGGTTGTGATTGTACCCATGGTTCGGAGTTGAGCTTTGCTGCTACCTGCGTTTGCTCGTCATTTCCTTCAAGTGAAAATGCGCACTTTCGTTTTCCAGCGATCAGATTCTTGATGTTGTTGCGTCCATATAATTCCGATGATCGTAACGGATTGATGCTCCCGAGCCGCCTCGTTTGTTTTGTTTTCTTGTGTTTCATTCTTCGAGAATCGAAGTTACGAGAAGAGGCAGTAGAGAGAGTTTTGAATTGTACGAAATTCCGCACCTCTCGTTTTCTTGTTTGTTTTGTTTATTAGGCAAGCTGCAAAGATAACTTTTCTAAATTCCAGCCCTTTCGTCTCTTGTTTTCGTTTTTTGTGTTTGTCATTCGAGAATCATTTTTAAGAGGTCAGAAAGGTGGAGAGTATTCTTGAGGTCTCAGAGTCGTAGAAGAGGTAGACGCAGAGAATCATTCTAAATTTCCAGCCCTCTCGTTTCTTGCTTTGTTTTTAGGTTTCATCCTTCGAGAATTGGAGTCAAAAGAAGTGGTGGCACAGTGGTGGTCCTTGTCTTTCGTGTGCATTTTTCGAAAAAGTTGATGCTCTGCGGCCGCCTCTCCCACGACTGAGATTGTTGAAGAATACTCTCCACCTCGGGAATTCTCGAAGAATGAAACGCAACAAAACAAAAAACAAGAGAAGGGGGGCATAATTTAGAATAGTTCTTTCCACCCTTCTCCGACTTCGATTCTCGAAGAATGAAACACAAGAAAGGGGGACGGTAGGTGGAAAAGGGGGGGGTGTTTTGTTGTTTGTTGTGATGGGGAATTGCAGTTGTCAGTTTCACCCCCCTCGTTTGTTGCTTTCATGTCTGTCCTTCGCTATTTTGCTTTTCGTTGTCGTTATTCGAAAAAATTGTTGGCTAAGAGGACTTGAATGGGGGGCGTAAAGAGGAGCTTTAAAGCGGGAGGGGTTGGGGTGACACAGCCCACCCCATGTTCTTCGAAGTTCCAAAAATGCTTCTGTTGTAGACGAGCAGTGGAGAATGTTTCAATGTTTTCATTTCTTGTTGTTCTTCGACACCCACCCCCTCGGCGTGAAAAAGGGGCTGTAAGACTGTAGTAAGAGAGGCTTAAAGAGCCCGCCGCCGCTGAATCCGCACGCCGTTTTTTGTCGAAAGAAGCGTTTGGTGTAGGTAAAACGCTATTCTTTGAGCTTAATTTCTAAACGCGAATTTATCTTTATTTTTTAAAAAAACGCTGTTTTTTCGAGGTTTCTGCGCGCGCGTTTTTGGGTATCTATCGGGGTGCACATAGTGTTCGGGCTTACAGGTCTTGTTTTGGGTTGCACTGTGGGTTCTCTTCTCTGGATTTTTCGTGGGTGCATGATCTTGTGGCATTGCAGTACAGCACTATTGAGGTTTGGGAGTGGTATAGTTTAGGGTTGAAGCTTTGAAGAGTTGAAGGGCCTCAGGAGTTGCAAGTGTTGCAAGTTTCTGCACTGCGGCTTTGTTGTGGGCCGGGGGATCTAGAGGGACTGAGGGGGCTTAGGAAGCTTAAGGGGACTCAGGTGGCCTCGGTGGCTTAAGGGAAATTCGGGCATCGCAATCATGGTCGATGTGCTGTTATAATAAAGTGCTCCTTAACAGGAACTCTTCTTTTCTCTTCCAAAAGCGAGATCAGGCAAGCTCCCCCCAACAGGCGGCCCCAAGTAGAGTTTTGTCGGAGCCATGGGTTTAGAGTTTAGGGTTTTGGGGTTTTTTTTTCAGAGCTAAGGGAGGTAAAGGGGACTTAGGGGGTCTGGGGGCTTAGGGATTTTTTTAAGAGCTAAGGGAGCTAAAGGGAGCTAAAGGGAGGTAAAAGGGGACTTAGGGGGACTGGGGGCTTAGGGATTTTTGTAAGAGCTAAGGGAGCAAAAGGGAGCTAAAGGGAGGTCAAGGGGACTTAGGGGGTCTGGGGGCTCAGGGATTTTTTTTTCAAAAGCAACAGAGGTAAAGGAGACTTAAGGAGCCTGGGGGCTTAGGGAGCTGAGGAAGCACAAACATCTCTTCCGTTGAGGCCAGAACGAGACTTAAGGAGCCTGGGGGCTTAGGGAGCTGAGGAAGCACAAACATCTCTTCCGTTGAGGCCAGAACGTAATTATCCCCCCCCCCCCCCCCAACCCCCCCCCCCCAAAACCCAGACCAACAAAGCCCCCAACCCAGACCAACAAAAGAAGCCAAAAACTTGTGCTGGTTGTACGGCGATAGCTTAAAGCAGTAGAAGAGAGGAGAGATAGGAAGAGAGAATCTGGGTGCCAGAGAGAGAGAGAGAGAGAGAGAGAGAGAGAGCGAGAGAGCGAGAGAGCGAGAAAGCGAGAGAGCGAGAGAGCGAGAGAGCGACAGAGCGAGAGAGCGACAGAGCGAGAGAGCGAGAGAGCGAGAGAGCGAGAGAGCGAGAGAGCGAGAGAGAGCGAGAGAGCGAGAGAGAGACAGAGAGCGAGAGAGAGAGAGAGAGAGAGCACGAGAGAGATATAGAGAGGCAAAAAAGAGAGAAAAAGAGAGAAAAGAGAGCAAAAGAGAGAAAAAACCGAAATAGAGAGAAAAAAAGAGAACAAGAGAGAACAAGCCACAAAAGCCAACGGATGTGCAAAGGTCTGCACCACGAGGCTTGTCTAAGCTTTTTGGTATTTCTGTTTTTCGGGGTTTAATGCATGGCAGAAGTCTGCCGGAAATGAAGCGTAAAGGTTCAACCCACATCAGCTTAGAGAGGCTTTTTTCAATCAACAGTTCATAAAAGCGCGAAACCTAAAGACAAACCCTGCCTGTACCACACAGTGGTAAGGCCGAATATTTCGAGGTTCGGCCCAGAGGTGACGTCTGAGGTCACATTGTCGTGTTTGTGCCTTCGGCCATATGACCAGTTCCGCAGCCTTCGAGCCTGATACGAGCCAAATTCCCAAACCATTGAACAAATTGAACGAGTCGAATCTGCTGAAAGGCTGACAGGGCTAAAACGGCTGTTAGAAGGCAATCGTCACTTCAAGCTGAATTGTTGCTCGCATGGACTGCGGCAGCATCCGTGGAATTGCAGATGAGGCAACCTTGGAAGCGTTGGGCAACTGTTTTAATAGGATTCCGGGGAGGATTGCTAGAGTGCTACGAGTTCCTCGAAGGCAGATGTCGGCATCGCTGCCTTTGTGAACGAGAAGCTGAAGCCCATTGGTGGGGCTTTGAAAAGTCCCTGGGCCTTTGATGCCTGGAAAGAGCTGTTCTCCCAACTGTTCTCTCCGTTGTTCACAACACAAGCCTTCAGTTGAGGTTTTCCGGAAGACTTCGTGGTCAAAGAGCTACCGCTTGAGTCAGAGTCTGGTGCATCGCTCAATATGGGCCTTGATATCTGGCAATCCGACGAGGGTTTTCACTGACCGGAATCATGTGCAACTAAGGTGACGAGGAAGAAGAAGAAAAGCAGTTCCTGCGTTTTCGCCTAAAAAAGCGTGGCTTGGATACATTGGAGGCGCCGTGAGAACATCGGAATCTGAGCCTTGTATGGCCCTTTTGGAAAAGTTTGGGATTGCGAGGCTGTGGACGCGTTGGCATCTGCATGCCACATCCCCCCGCATAGGCTTGGATGTCTGCAAAACGCTGGGGCATAATGGGGTTTGTGTACAGGGCTCGTAAAGGTTCGCAACAATTTGATGCGTTGCTCAATTCTGATGTTTTTGTCGACGTGCATCCCTGATGCGTTCTGAGCAGAAGATGGTTTGTTTAGGGTTGTGCCTTGTCGATTCACGAGACCAGGTTTGGCTTTGCTGGGATCAAGGACTCGTATTGGATGGTGTTCCACTGCCTCTGCGACAATCTGAAACATGAATTCTGGTGCATCTCTGCATTGTGAAGGATTCCTTCGCAGTCACAACTCAAGAGCTGACCGTGCCACGAACGTTGATCACGGAGGCCATCGCAGGTTGAAACTTGTAGAACAGTATTTTTTGGGGCGTTTACTCTTCCTGTGGCCTGTTACGATAGTATTGCGTGCCTTCGGTCCAGGCCGGCCTGCGCAAAGCAGCAGCGAACCTTCCCGGGTTGCTCAGAGAAGTTCAGTCCAGACATTGCCAGACACCATGGCGACTGGCATGGCTTGCAATTGAATGTCTGAAAGGGTTGAACACATTCGCTGCAATTGCCGCTGCTCCACAATTTGTCCAAACCCAGAACAACAAATTTTCAAATCGTAATCAGCTTTGTTGCGCTTGCCCAGTTTACGGGTGGGCCGTGTGCGACGCAGCCGTCGTCCTCTGGCACCCGGCCGCTTGAGAGGCAGGGGTGTCAAAAATAGTGTTAATTGTTGCATGAGTTGAAGCAGTTCAAATTCAAAGTAGTTATACGGTTATTCGAAGACAAGCGTGTCTGACAGAGGAAATCGCTTCATTCTCAGAGACTGGATCTCAGTGCTGGAATGGCAGTGCAGGTTGGTGCGACGATGGCATATGGCATGTCGCAGCGCGATTTAAGGCCCCCAACGACACGACAGTTGAACTTTGAACACCATGAAGAGCAAATGCCTTCAACACGTGCACAAAGCCCGTCCAAAGAGCCCAGGAGTCCCAAGAGCCCAAGTTGAAGGATAATTCCTGGCAGGCTTGAATCTTGAAAAAGTGCACGAGACTGAGGCAGGAGCGTATTTTCGACGAACTCGCAGGCTTGTGGCAGTTGACGCGAAACCGAAATTTGCGGGCATGCTCCTGCCTAGACACGAACGCGGACCCCAACTGGTGTTGTTGACACACTGGGGAAAAGAGGATGTGTTTTTCCATCATATGAATTGCTTCAGTCGACTTATTGGTCGGCCTGTTCACGTGTTTAGTTGGCTCAGGTTCGCGGCATCCAGGCCGACACTAACGAGGCCTTTTCAACCTGGCACAACCACACAAACCACATATTCGTGGATACACCCAACAGCTAGTAATTTGCCAATCGCAGGTCAAGGAAGCCGTGGACTCCTTGGAGACGAGAGGCTTTATCAATTATGCCGCCGAGCTGCAATGAACAGAAGAGGTCATGATCTTGAGATTCATCCATGTGCCCTGAGGTTGGAATGCAGCGTTTTGGCAAAGGCGGTGTCCGAAGCGACCTCCTCGGATTGGCATACCTTCAGGCTGAGTCAGTTTTGAGATGTTTTGAAGTCACCAACCAGCTGGTTTGTAGACAGCCTGGCCACACGTGCGGCCTGGCAGATCTATGCGACAGGCCTTCGTAGACGCATGCTCAAGCATGCCCAAGCCAATTGCGGTTTGCGACATAGTTTTGTCAGAGGGTTCATGAGTAGATCGACTGCATGCCGTGCTTGCCACCCTTTGTGCCTTTTTCACCGGGCGCAGTGTAAAGAAATTGTGGACTGTGTAAGAAATCGTGAACACAATTGTTGTACTTGGGTGCATGTGGGTGCCAAGGGAGTTGCCAAGCCCCAACATTTGTGCCACCCTGAGTTTGGCAGAAACGCTTCTCGGAGTACGCATCTTAGGCAGCGGAGTTTGGATCATGAGAAAAGGTCGCATGAACAGATCTGCACAAAAAAGTCCAACAGTGCCCCAACTATGCCTTGGTGCTATAGGTGTTGCTCTCATGTTCTTGACTTGCGCGAGCAGATCCGTCAGAGCAGGGTCAGTGTCAGGTTTGTATTGCCCTTTGTTTTTGAATTTTGCCAGGGTGATTTTGTGCGCTGTGTGGCTTGGCAAGCACGTTAAGGTTTTTGTCCGAGCTGTTTGACAGAACCTTTGGCTGCAGCAAAAAGCATCTCAAGATGCACCGAGGTTGACATTCTGTTGCGCCAGCACAGTGGTGAGAAGGCGCATGTACCGAAATCTGTTAGTTGTCAAACTGAGAGGCTGCAGAGTGCAACGACAAGAGCGTTACAACAATTACACTTGGCTCATCCTGGTTTGACTTCTGCTTCTCAGTTGTATTTTGAATCGCGATGGATCCTTGTTCAGGGAAACGCCCGAATGCCTAAGTGGGCGGAGGCCGGACGCTTTTGTTCTTGCACCTTCGTGTTTCTTTCCTGACACTGCATGTTGTCATGATGTGGCTTGAAGCTCGCCTCTGGAACGCGTTCAGGCTATGCATGACCAACTTGTTATATAGCCATGAGGTACTGGCGGGGCAAGAATCTGTGACTTCTACTAACGAGGACATTCGCTTTGCACAATAGTTCTTTTTTGGAGAACCGAGGTTTCTCGGCAGTATCTGCAAATGCAATAGATATCGGACTAGGCGTCACATCTATACCGAATGCCCTGCTACAGATGCCTTGTTCGATATGTCGTATGTATTCGAATCCCAGGATAGCAAGGGTTGCAGGGAGGTTAGAAGTGCCATGAGGTCTACCAGCGAACCAACAGTGCAGAAGCAGCACTTCGAAAACTTCCTGAGGCAATCCCGTTTGATTCGGGTCTGCATACTGTTACTGTTGTAAAAATCAGTGGACAGATGATGCATCACCTCTCTCCCTCTCTGTCCCTCTGTCTCCCTCTGTCTCCCTCTGTCTCCCTCTGTCTCCCTCTGTCTCCCTCTGTCTCCCTGTCTCTCCCTCCCTTCTCTCTCTCTCCCTTCTCTCTCTCCCCTGCCCTTCTCTCTCTCCCCTTCTCTCTCGCCCCTGCCCTTCTCTCTCTCCCCTGCCCTTCTCTCTCTCCCCTTCTCTCTCTCCCCTTCTCTCTCTCCCCTTCGCTCCCTCCCCTTCCCTTCTCTCTCTCCCCTTCTCTCTCTCCCCTTGTCTCTCTCCCCTTCTCCCTCTCCCCTTCTCTCTCTTCCCTTCTCCTATCACTTCTGGTGGAAATAGGGGTGGCTCCAGCAGTGACCCCTATGCGGGTGATAGACCCCTATCCATGTCAGGTAGGTCCCCATGCCCCAAAACCCAAAACCCTAAAAACACCCTAAACTCTTAAAACCCCTAAACCCGCCCTAAAAGCCTTAGACCCTAAACCCTGCAAACCCTTACAGCCCAAACACTAAAAACCCCTAAACCTTAAACCCTAAAACCCCTAAGCCCCAAACTCTAAAAACCCCTGAGCCCTAACCCCAAAAACCCTGCACCCTCAAAAGCCCCTAAACTTGAAACCCCCAAAACCCTATAACCTAAACACCCCTTCTGGTACTTTTTAGGGTTTCGGTTTAGGAGTTTGGGTTTTTCTGGGTTCACGGTCTAAGTGGTTTTTAGGGTTCAGGATGTTGGGGCTTTTAGGGGTTTCGTGGTTTTTTAGGTTTTAGGGTTTTTGGTGTTGTAGGGTTTGGGGCTTAGGGATTTTTCGGGTTTAGGGCTTAGGGGTTTTTAGAGTTTCAGGTCTAGGGATTTTTAGGGTTAGGGCTGAGGGTTTAGGGTTTAGGGTGCGATAAGGTTTAGGGCTTAGGGGTTTGTGGGGTCGAGGGCTTAAACAAGTAAAAACTCTAAAGCCTCGACCCAGAAAACCGAAACCCTAAACCCTGAAAACCCCTAAGCCCTAAACCCTAATAAACTCTAAACCCTAAAAACCCTGAACCCTAAACCCTAAAACCTCTAACCCTAAACCCTATAGACCTTAAACCCTAAACCCTACAAGCCGTGTCTGAAACCTTAAAACCCTCAAGCCAAATTAAACGCTAAAAGACCCCTTAAACCCTAAGCTCTGAAAACCCCTAAGCTCTAAACCCGAAAAACCCTTAAGCCTAGATCCTAAAAACCCTTAATCCCTGGACCCCCGGGCAGAGCCCTAAACCCTAAAAGCCCCTGAACCCTAAAAACCTTGAGCCCTAAACACCCAAAACCCCTAACTCTAAAAGCACCTGACCTACTCAAGAAACCCTAACCCCAAAAAAACCCTAAGCCCTGAACTCTAAAACCCCTAAACCCAGAAACCCGAAACACCCGGAAAACCCGAAAAAAAAACACCGGAAAACCCGAAAAAACCGAAAAACCCGGAAAACCCGAAAAACACGGAAAACCCGAAAAAACAAAAAACCGAAAAACCCGAAACACCCTAAAAAACCGAAAAACCCAAGAAACCTGAAAATCCCGAAAAACCCGATAAACCCGATAGACCCGAGAAACCCGATAAACCCGAGAAACCCGAGAAACCCGAGAAACCCGAGAAACCCGATAAACCCGATAAACCCGAGAATCCCGAGAAACCCGAGAAACCCTATAAACCCTAAGACCTAAGCCCTCAGCCCTAAGCCCTAAGCCCGAAGCCTTAAGCCCTAAGCCCTAAGCCCTAAGCCCTAAGCCCGAAGCCCTAAGCCCTAAGCCCTAAGCCCTAAGCCCTAAGCCCTAAGCCCTAAGCCCTAAGCCCTAAGCCCTAAGCCTTAAGCCCTAACCCCTAAGCCCTAAGCCTTAAGCCCAAAACCCTAAACCCTAAATAACTTCCTAAGCCCTGGCCCCTTGAAGCCCCCAAACCCTAAACCCTGAAACCCTTGAGCTGTGTGTTTCAGGTTTGTGTTTCTTTAGCATTTGGGTCGTACGGCGTAGGGGTCTTTGGTATGATTTATCAGGCATAGGGCTCTTTCCTTCTCTTCCCTTCTCTCTCCTTCTCTCTCCTTCTCTCTCCTTCTCTCTCCTTCTCTCTCCCTTCTCTCTCCCTTCTCTCTCCCTTCTCTCTCCCTTCTCTCTCCCTTCTCTCTCCCTTCTCTCTCCCTTCTCTCTCCCTTCTCTCTCCCTTCTCTCTCCCTTCTCTCTCCCTTCTCTCTCCCTTCTCTCTCCCTTCTCTCTCCCTTCTCTCTCCCTTCTCTCTCCCTTCTCTCTCCCTTCTCTCTCCCTTCTCTCTCCCTTCTCTCTCCCTTCTCTCTCCCTTCTCTCTCCCTTCTCTCTCCCTTCTCTCTCCCTGTCTCTCTCCCTTCTCTCTCCCTTCTCTCTCCCTTCTCTCTCCCTTCTCTCTCCCTTCTCTCTCCCTTCTCTCTCCCTTCTCTCTCCCTTCTCTCTCCCTTCTCTCTCCCTTCTCTCTCCCTTCTCTCTCCCTTGTCTCTCCCTTCTCTCTCCCTTCTTTGTCCCTTCTTTGTCCCTTCTTTGTCCCTTCTCTGTCTTTTCTCTGTCCCTTCTCTCTCCCTCTCTCTCCCTTCTCTCTCTCCCTCTCTCTCTCCCTCTTTCTCTCCCTCTCTCTCCCTCTCTCTCCCTCTCTCTCCCTCTCTCATCTCTCTCTCTCCCTCTCGCTCTCACTCTCTCTCTCTCCCTCTTTCTCTCCCCCTCCCCTATCTCTCTCTCCTCCTCTTTCCTCTCTCCTCCCTCCCTCTCTCTCTCTCTCCCTCTGCCTCTCGCTCTCTCTCCCTCCTCTCCACTCTAATATTCTCCCTATCTCTTCCCTCTCTCTCTCTCCCTCTCTCTCTCCTATTCTCTTACTTCTCTCTCCTCTTTCTTGCCTTTCTCTCTCCTCTCCTCTCTCCCTCTCTCTCTCCTCGCCTCTCTACACTCCCTCTCCCCTCTCTCGCTACCTCCTATTCTCTCTCTCCCTCTCTCTCTCCCTCTATTCTCTTTCTCCCTTTTTCTCTTCCGCTCTCTCCCTCTCTCTCTCTCCCTCTCTTATACCTCTCTCTCTCCCTCTCCCTCACCCTCCCTCCATCTCTTCTCTCTCTATCTCTCTCTCTCTCTCTCCCCCTCATTTGCAGCACTTGTCTTTGTGTGTGTGTGTTTGTTAAGATGCATCTCTTCTAACCAGAAAGCCACAGAGATCTATTTAAGCGTATGTCAACGTTTCGATCTTTGACATGCAACATGCTGCAACGATAATACTCTTTTCTATCACACGCGTAAGTACAACTTGTGCAACTTGTTATCCAAGGTTGCAAAAAAGATTATATCTCTCAGCCTTTCTATTCGCCCTTCTTTGGCTGACTTTGCAGGGGTGCTGGGCTGAACGGCGCCTCCTGCGTGCCTTGCGCCGGCGACAGGCTCAAACAGAACCGTTGCAAAGGAGTGTTCTCAAGGTCTTTTAAAGATGCCAAACTATCAGTTTTGGTAGCTCGCGACGCCATCCTGTCAGGACATTGAGGGGGGAACTGCCCTGCCAAAATGGTCTGAAGAGGCGATCCATTCGCAAAGCACAGAAGTGTAGCACAGAACCTTTTTTTCAGAAAGCAGCACTTGGCAATCTCGTTTTTAAGTCGATGGGTGTAGCTACGGCCATTTGTCAGACATCTAGGCTTGGATGCGTGTGAGAAAATTGACTAGCCCTAGGTAGGATAAGGGGGGCCCGTAAACGGGAACCCTTCTTGACCCTCTTCTGGCTAGGGTCTATATCCCCAAGGGTCCCCTTAATCCTATCCCCCTAACTAGCTATGTCGGAGTTGAACGTTTTGGAATGCAGCTCAGGCAGGCCTAGGAAGGGTTACGCGTAGGTTGTCTTCAGTGTGTTTGGCATGCAGGGGGCCACGTCAGCCCCAAAAAGGCGAACCTTGACTCAATGATTCAAGGCAGGTTCTTACACGGATCTTGTGGCCGTCCGAAGCATTGCAAAACAGACACGCTGGCTCTCTTGGGCAGCCAAGCTTTGCTGAACTTCCTAGGCATGCGATGGTGCGATGTGGCTCGTGAAGCGTTTCTGGGGCTTCCCAGGAGACCATGCGAAGCAGTTTTATTTTTTGTTATTGGATCTGAAGGATTACCAAAGCAATCTAGCCAACAACAAGATTATCACTGAGTCGAAAAGCTCCGCTCCATTTCACAAGAGTCTGCTGTGATCTCACAAGATTGGACGTTGTCAGGACCATTCGTGCCCTATATGCTCACTCTTACGTCGACAGACTCTGGAACATGGGAGCCACGGAGCGCAAACAAATGGGCTTGCAGCTTCGTGCTCAGAACATTTTCAGCTTCAGCATGCACGCGCGAGCCACAGCAAGCCCAACCCAATAGCCATTTGCATATTCTTCTTTTGTGGTGTCTGTGCTTCAGCTATCTTCAGCTTGCTGCTGGTTTGCTGTAGCCACTTTAGCCCGTTGTGAGGTGCGTCGACGGTGACTGGATCGAGGACTTGGCGCATCCAGGAACTTACAGGCACACCATGGCACACCTGCGTCACCCAGAGACCTAGATGGGCGCAGTTGGGGTACAAAGACACTGTGGCCTGCCTGGCCTGCTTCTTTGCCAGACGAATGCCATTATTTTTGTCATCTAAGGGTGTCCTCCCAGAATCGCTGATCGTGGCGCATCGTCAGGCCTGTGCAGTTGGAAATGGAGGCTTTGACGGCTCGGACCCTTTCGTGACCCATCTCCAGAATGCATCACACTGCTCCTGCACAATTCGAGGCTTCTGTTTTCCAGCTGGTGCTGCCACGGCCTGGCGCAGGCTGGGGATAAATGGGTGGTCTTTCCACGTCGCATCAGTCGCTGAAAAAGTACGCTTGGGAGCATTCGCAAAGCTCCAGATTCTCTCAGGTATGGCCTTGCCTGCACATCGCGTGGGGCAGTTCATGTGGCTTGGCAAGCATGGGCCTGACCCAAAACTATACCTTTTGGTTGTCAGGTTATCTCGGAAGTTTTCGTTATTCTTTGCTTATATAAGGTTATCAGACAGTATCCATGCTCTGACGGGTCTTACTTGCTGCGCATCTATCGCACTCACCATGCTACTGCGACCGTAGAGTATGCATGATCAGAAATGAAAGAACACATGAGACAACGCTTACAAGAAAACGAAGCAAAGACCCAATTAGTGCACCCCAACCCTGATGAGGGAAAATACGAAATGAGGGAGGTGACGAGGAGCGAGAACAAGTAGGATACAATTGAAGCAGTCACCGCAACACCTGACACCCACTCCTTACAACCCCCTCTTCATGTATGGTTTGGGGGGTGCCCCCTGATCCTGACGCACCTTCGCTCAGCCAGGGTGGTAGCGTTCGGTTCAGGCTCTTGTGCCGCTTGTAGAAAAGGGGTGATCTGCCTGATTCAGTCAGTTTATCTGACAAACCATGATGCTTTCCCCCATGCAAGCTCTCCAGCTGTCATACTGCACGTCCCAAGGCGCAGCTACCTTGCTTACGATGGTTTGGAGCCTGAAGAGCTGACCCTCGAGGCATTTGTGTAAACGTGTTGGGAAGCGTTGGGAATAGTCCATGACACTTCAACTGAGGCACTTCTTCACGTGTGGTAGTTTAGGAGCGCCAAGGCCATCGCTGCCCCCACTTGGTCCCCATCACACCTTTTACCGCGCTTGGCCTTCTTCAAAAAGGTGTACGGTTGAGGCATGCAAGGCGGGAGGGCTGACGATCAGGCCGACAGACCCACAGTCACAATACATCATCATGCCGGCCTTGCTGCAGTCACAAACACCGATATGTCCGATATGTCGTTTTCTTCCAAAACAGGCGCGCCCACAAGGCCAAAAATATCCCGGCCACAACCCCTCCTGCTTGCGGCTTCTTCTCGTGAAGTTGGGACATTTACGGCGCTCGACTGCCATTTGTTCTTCGGAATGCTGGCCAGGCTCCGAATGCGGACGAGCCCGTCCATCTCACTGGCTGCATGCGACGCGTCATCGTTCGGCCAGAAAAGCTGAGGCAGAGCAATCGCTGTCAATTGTAGAGACAAAGGTGACAAGCGTAATGAGCAAAAAAGAGGTGGTAGCTACATCAGTTTGCTGCCAACGATTGCGAAAGATCATTGAACTGTCGATATGCCCTGCAGTTGGTATCTGGAGCCCAACCTTGGCGTTCCAGACACTGACTGGGCAGACCTGCCCGGGAAGGCTGTGTGGGGACCAAGCATGAACTCAGTGAATCTCCGTGAATCTCAGTGTGCAACTCAAGAGAGGGCGCGCTGCTGTTTTGCAGCATCGCGTATGCTTGTATCGTGTCTTCGTGTCTTCGACATGCCGAGGCTCTGAGGTGGAAACCGTTCCAAGTGCTCATTGAGATTCCTTGAGATTCGTTAGATTCGTTGAGTTGTTGCACAAAGGTTTGTGTTTTTATTTGCTTTAGCAAATCTTTTGCACTGTGAGAGGCCTTCAATAGAACGCGCGTTTTTTTGAATTTCTCAGCTCTCCTCAAGCTGGGCTGCACGCATAGATTCCAACAGTCATGTTGAAGGTCAGCCGTGCAACAAACACCCGAACTCGTGCAAAGCACCTTGATGGGCCACTGGACTGCAAGTGGTTTCTGATAGCGAGGCACTTGGGACCGTGTGTCAGCTAACTGTTCCGCATCATTGCCCATCCTAGAAGTAGCTCCTGAAACGAAAGCTTGGCTGAGGTCAAAGTCGCTCGTGTTGGACTTCCACTTGGGGCCTGGGCAGTATGCAACGATGGCTATGCGGGAGGTTCAGCGCTTGATGCAGAACATCGTTGTAAACAAAGCCACTGCGGCAGTCTACCGGTAGTAGCCATGAAGCTGTTATATGCAGACGGATTTGGTTTGCGTGCGGCAGACATGTACAGACTATAGACCTTCTATGTTTTGCACATGTGTTGAAGTCAAGAGGCCAGGTAGCATCCAGGTTCGCAGCTGCTCTTTTGTTCTGTAGCAAAGGCAGATCGAGGCATGAGCTACGTTTTGGCATGCGAAGCCCAAATTGCTGGTGAGGGGCATGAAGCAAACCGAAACAATGAAGCAGCTCGGAACAAAAGAGCTTTGCCAAAGGCCTGCGAGGCCTGTGAAGGAGCGCGAAAAAGCCATTTTCCGGCACGTACAATGAGTATACTGCTGAAGCATTTTCCATTGGTCTCTTTGGTCACATCTCCTGTGCATCATCCGAGGTGCCAACAAGTGTAGCCTTCTTTGGCTTAGATGTTGCAGTTCGCAGTTTGTAGTCAGTTTGTCATCTTAAGAAAGCAAGAGACATGCAAGAGTTGCAAAATTGGTGTCAACTTCGCGTTTCTGTTGGCTCCCTCCGGAAGAAGCTGTGGATGCAGCAAGCACCAGCAAGCCGACAAACGTGTGGCATGACATGACAACCCGCTGCCAGAGCCAGCAACCCGTTCAACTGTTTGCAATTGTTTGCAGCCTCGAACGCCGAGGTTATGCGGCCACGGCCATCCAAGGCACCACAACATCACGTGTTCTTCAGTGACACCGAGGCACTGGGGAATCACTGCATTGTGGCATTGGCCTTGCTCCGAACTCCTTTCAGCCGGTCCGGGTCTCTGACCGCAGGAGGAGACAAAAAGCCTTCAAAGCTGCAAAGCTGTGGCCGCAAGCGAAGAACAACGAGAGCAAAAGTATCATGCCGTTTGTTACGTGCATGGCTTTGACTGGCGGCGATGTTCACGTTCACCCTCTCATGCCACGTGATCAGCTGCTTTTCATATTTATAAGTTCTGCTGCCATGGGGTATGGGGAATTTTGGGCTTGCAGACTCTTGCAGGGCGCTGGTCTTCAGTAAAACTCTGGCGGCTCATTTCGTGGTGGCAGCGTCCTTTTTTGGAGCTGTTCGTGGGCAGGCCGAGCAGCTCCGCGACTGCCACTTAGGTCACGCGGTAACGAAGCTCAAGCAATGTTTTAGAGGCCATGGTCTTGCATCCAGCGTCGAGACGGGTCGAGACGAGTCGAGACGGGTCGAGACGGGTCGAGACGGGTCGAGACGGGTCGAGACGGGTCGAGACGGGTCGAGACGGGTCGAGACGAGTGAGAGACAGTAGGAGACAGTAGGAGAAAATGAGAGGCAACCTTTTAGAGTAGTGCTGCGAGAATTCCAAATGAACGTCACAAGAATCTCTTGTCTAGGCAAATTCTGAACCCCAGCTACAGTCAAATGTTCGTCGCTGCTCGTGGAACAAAGGGAAAAAGGAGAGACAACAGCCGAGACAGGCATCGCAGCATCCAGGGTCCGCTGACTGTACGAAGGGCGTGGGAGACCACACTCGGGCGTCACAGCATCCAGGGTCTGCTCAGGTTACAAAAGGAGATCAAGGGAGGCAACACTCCCAGACAGGCGTCACAGCAGCCAGCGTTGCAACAACCGGAAGACAAATTAAATCTGCTTGGGGAATTGAATTGCACTTCTCGAATAGACTACACACACAAACACATTTCTTTCAGTGTGTAATGCATTACTGCTGGTGTGCACTGCATTCCTGCTGGTGTGCTCACGTTTCTTCCGTTTGAAACCCTTGCCGCTGTCTAGCGGAAGCTCAAGTGTGAGTTGCGCAACACGAGGGACAGTTTTGGCAAGGCGAAGGCGATGCAAGCTTTAAGGAACGTGTAAGACCAGCAGCTGACGTCCAAACAACTGATGTTGCAAGCTCGCGGAAGCCCTTCCTGCAAAAACAACACCTCCTGCTGGAACTTCATCCCGGGCAATCCATGGTATGATTGTTGCAAACCTTTTTCGTTTGGTAGCACTGCGTACTTGCTGTTTGCTGGAAGTTGTGACCACAAAAACATCATATGGTCGGAGGTCCGCAATAGAGGGTCTGGAACTGTCAGTGCAATTCTCAGTACGTGTTCCGAAAGAAACAGTCGGACAAGTCGGACGTCTTCAGTTTTTCGAGGGTTCGGTTGCCGAACTTACCAAACATATAACCTCTCGGAAAGGTCATTGGTGACTGTGGTCTTACCAACTGGTTCCCCAGCGATGAAGAAGGCCAGAAAAAGACGCGCCTGGCCGAGCTCAAGAATGGACGACGCAGGGTCCAGACTCCAGCCACTCAATCGCATCGAATCCTCAAAGTACTCATTTTGCTGCGGCAATAAGTCTGTTTTGGCTACACTGGTGTTCGTAGGGGCTGTCAAACAGGCTGACTCGCCAATTTTTTCCCTCGTATTGAATCTCAACCCACAGGAGGCCTGGGAAAGCCAAGTCTGAAAGTCAAGAAGAAGAGTCGCAGAATGCATGGAAACTGAGTTCAGGGTGACAAAGGTTAGCGACCGCAAAGCCGGTCTTTCGACGTGCATCGCGCTCCGACGCTATGCTCTTAGCAGCATTCCACTGGCAACAGTTAGCATGCCCTCTGAATTGCCACAAGTCTTTCACAAATCTTTCGAACTGAAATAATCCGTTGACATACCTTGCCAGAGGATGCGTCTGGAGCAGTGTAGGATGTTGAATGATAAGTCACCCCGTCGGCTCACTTCTATGTGCCATAGGGCACACCCGACAAACCCCACACTGTGCACCAAATCTCAAAGTCGGTGAAGAGCGGATGCCGCGGGCAGAAGCGCCATGGATGAGGAGGTGCCACCTCAGAATTAAAGCGTTTCCTTGTGTTTTTGGCATTTGCCTGTGTTGACTTTGTAGCTTGGCAGTAAGTGGAGTCATCACTTGAAAGCTCTGCAAACTGCATAATACATCATCATTCTGATCCCCCCTCGAGCCACTTGGTGAAGCTTTGTGAGATGCCCTCGTAAGCTTCGAGAGGTCAGCTTCGCCCCCGAGGCTGCTGGTGAGGCCGGGTGCCGAGATGCGGATCTTTGAAGATTTTGAGAGCGAAGTTGAGGTTCAAAAGCGGCGCTTAAAGCAGCATCTTAGCACATCTTAACACACTCACAGCTGGTCACGCCTGCAGCGAGGTCTCCGACCACCCGCCTGTGGATTTCAGCTGGGACGGCTATGGGTACGACTTGCTGGTCCTGAGCTCATAACTGGAGTGGAGGAGAGGAGTGCGCTCAACAAAAACCCCTGACCTGAGGCTCTGAGGCTTAGAAGCGGCTTTCATTCCCTTAAAATGCTTTGGCCATTGCTTTTGCACCAACAACTGTGTTCTGAAGCTGTCCTTCAGGAAACATAGCCCTTCTTCATTCCAGAGAGCACGCGTGGTGAATGTACGAACAGAAGGGTTAATGGCGGTGGAAAAGCCCGTTACTTGTTGACGAACAGGGGGCTTTTCATGCACGTAAAAAGGGCTTCTGGTGAGTGAGGATAATTATGCACAACTTGGGTGACTGAAAAGTAAGTTATATGTTCTGGTTGGAATAATGTTATGAATGTAGCATGAAAACCTTAATACCGGCCTATGGAAAGAAACCTGCTTCCCAAAGCTTAGAAGTTAAGGCTTTCACATGTCGCAGATGTACGAGTTCGAGATAGCATACGCTAGAGTCGCTAGAGAATACCGAAGGACGAGCGTAAGAAAGTACCTGTCCTCGTCAATTGGCAAACCATTGGAATGCTATTTTGGCCGAGTGCACAGTCACAAAAATCAGGCAACTGTCGCTGCGGCGGGTGATCGGATGGCGTCGGGGCTCTTGAGCATTCGTGCAGTCTGAGGATGAGCTGTGAGAACTTTCAAAAGCAATGCATCGGCAGCTGCGGCACTGCAATTTGGACTTATGGTTTAGACTTGGCGCGGCTGAACTAAGGCCTTTGGGCAGAGTTCAGGCCAAGCTTGCTGTTGAATTGATCAAGGGGAACATGTCAGCTCCGTTCTGCAGGTTCTATTGGGGAAGCCTAAAGTACCCAACGCCACCAAAAGCCTAAAGGGCCTGCATTGAATATCATTGCACACAGCCAGAAGCCTAAGTTCAGCACCTCCTTTGCTTAATGCAAGGCCATCTTTGACTCCCAGCAAAGAGATCTCAATTCCGCGTGCAGCTCCCAAGCCGATTGTTGGGTTCGGAAGTAATTGGAAGGCTTCTGCACTTGATGTCCACTTTGCAAGCAAGCAGTTTCAGGTTGAGTTTGAGTTCATTGTCGGGAAAATGCAACGCTTGGAGTCGTGAGAGTGTTGCCGCCTCTAGATTGCATGTCGTCGCGGCGTCGCTGAGGTGGGATGACATGCGGGACAAAGTCTGCAACTCGCTGATGCCAAGTAGACCCCAGGTCCGTGCATTGTCGAGCAACTTCCTTGCCTTCAAAAGAAGCTGCTCTGAGATGCTCTGAGATGTTCTTCGTCCTTAAGCCATGTAGCTTTGGCAGGCAAGCGCAGGAATCGCCACGCCGACCAGCTGCCGTTCCTCAGGATTCGCATGGATTCAAGCTTTGACCATTGGCCTGTTGATTCCAATGGCCAAGTGCGGCTGTTAATTCATATTAATTCACTTAACCCCCTGCCTAGAATTGTTACAGAGACAGGGGCCCAACTCCCCCCAGCGCTCAGGTGCCAACAGCGCCTGCTCCAGCCGCACACCAGCGGCCAAGGCTTTGCTTCGCGTTCGGTTCGTTGATTTCGTTGATGTTGGTTGCTCAATGGGTTTGGTCAGACACGTAGAGAGGTTTTTTCGGCAGCAGTATTCCCATTCTGTCAGACGAGGCACCGCCTACTGCCGTGCAGGGCGAACTGGTGGAGGACGGGCAACCAGACGGTCTTATGGCTTATATAAGTGTTAAAGTTATCACAGGACAGTAGACTCGCAACAGGAAAGACGCAATGGATTCTAGTTCCACCGACGACAATGCATTGAACATATGTCACGAATGAATAAAACATGCCTTCATTCCATCAACCTGCGTGGAGCTTTCTGATCTGGAAAACTCGAGCTGCAGGTGCCAGCACTGTTCCCGAATCGGAACCAAAACAGATTCCGGCGCTGCAGGATGCAAGAAATTGCAAGAGAAGGCCGCCGTATCTCCGCCAGCACGCACGAGCAACACTAGCCACTAGCCTGATGCTATGCGCCAGCACGCGCAGAGCTTAGGCAAACGGCAAAGCAGGGAGGACCTTTGCGTGTCGGCATTATACACCAGCATCAAACATGACACATCATGCTGCTGTGCCCGACCACAGCTGCAAAATCATCCAGTTCTCTAAAAACTTCGGCTCCGCATCATTCCACGTCAACATTATTCGGGTTTTCTGTGGCCATAAGAAATGCCG